GTCGTAACATAGGGCTGTCGTAACATAGGGCTGTCGTAACATAGGGCTGTCGTAACATAGGGCTGTCGTAACATAGGGCTGTCGTAACATAGGGCCGACCCCGGGACAGAACCTGATTCTAAGTCAATTCCTGGCTGCCACCCCAGTTGGTAACGCAGTTCAGGGTAGGTGTTTCCTACCCTGTCATATTTTTGAAATTACGCTAAGCCCCTTGTGGGTTCTACTGAACGAGTAGCGAGTTTGCGAACGCGTTACGAAACCGGTTCTACTCCCGTCGGCCTTTGCGCTATCTATCTCCTAACCAGACGCCGGTTTTGAAGTAAGGCTGAGTATTGAGTGTGCTTTTTATTGTATGATTCAGCGGACCAAGTACTCATTAAGTGTTATATATGTATAGTATATTGTACGGAGAATTCTCGGGAATCTGTCAACGGACCGAGTTTATGGTGGGGCGTGTTCAGAGTGTATGATTCCCGGGAACATTTCAACGGACCGTGTTCACGGAGTCTGTGTTTATGCATTATTCTCGGGAATCTTTCAACGGACCGAGTTGATGGTGTTTGTGTTTAGTGTATGATTCTAGTGAATCTTGTACGAAGTGCACAGTGAAAGTGTGTTCCGTTGCCTATCTATATAAATAAAGCAACAGAGATCTCAACAAAAACTTGGTGGCCTACCGCCCATGGATGAAGGTTAGACATCCAGGTAATAAGGCCAAAAAGCTCCTGTTCTGCATAACAGGGGCTTCCTGACTTGTCTTAACTTGTCTGACTTTTGTTCCCTTTTTGACATCCAAAAAATTGTCTTCATTTTATTTGCATGAACAGTTTGTGCTTATAAACCTGCTTTCTCCTCTGGCTAAGCCAGTCACTGATGAAAGCCAGTGGATACTAGCTGAAACGTCTGACGTTCCAAAATCATATCCAGTTGTTTAAGTAACTGCTTTTTGGCGAACATATATACTTTACAAAGAAAACAGATCACCACAAAGTATTGTCAAAGGCAATGATATGCCAAGCATCAATTATTGTGACATTAAATTGTGTATAATTTCTAGCCAACAGAAACTAAATGGCCCTAAATTTATCCTTATCATGGAGCTATTTGCATTTGAAACAATCAACACTAAAAATACATTAGACAAGGAAGGAAACAGAAGCACTAACATGTCGTCGCCAATTTGTCTGGTACACGTGATTCCGTCGCTAGAGGGCGAAGCTGAGAAGAGAGAGAAGTGGCCCTTCCGTCCTCTCACGTCTTGTTTTTGCGCACGTGTTGACCTCTGCGAGAACCGATAGGAAGTAAATGATTGACAAGTTTTTGATTGTACAAGTGAACTTTGACCCGTAAAAGGTTATTATGTTCCGTACGTGTTGGCTTCTGCAAAACCCGATAAGACGTCATGAATGATAAACAGGTGCGTAATGCACAGTTAAACTTTGAGCAAAGGTCAAAGGTGAAAGACCCGATGTGACCCCTGGACGACAAACTCATTTTTGGGACTATTGATGACAATGGCGTAATAGGAAAACATATTTTCAATCGACCGACACCTAACTGTACCCGCAGACGAACAATCATGGATATTTACAGCTTCCGCTCTTAAGACTTCATCTCAAATCATAACTTTGTCAGATAACAGGGGGTGCCCGCTCTTAAGACTTCATCTCAAATCATAACTTTGTCAGATAACAGGGGTGCCAGAGTATACAGACTGCAATTTTTCGGAATACAGTGCAAGTTTACTAGTATACAGTGCAATTTTACGGAATACAGTGCAATGTATTAGTATACAGTGCAATTTGCGGAATACAATGCAGTCGTATTAGCATACAGTGCAATTTAACGGGATACAGTGCAATTTTACTAATGACGTTGAATCACGTGACTAATGGACCGGGTTTTCCGAGACGCCAATGATGGAGCGTACTCACGTATTTCTGTGTTTTTCAAGCGATCTTTGACCGTTCTCGTAAATAGACCTTTAGTCAAATCACTACATACTACACACAGGGCATTTTAATGCACAGGGATCATTTCGAATTCGCTCGAAAAAGACAGAAATATTTGAGTCTAGCGGCGTCCGCCATCTTGAAACTAAAGGGGCCGGATCCAAGTCACGTGATTCAACGTCTTAAGTATTAAAATTGCACTGTATTCCGTTAAATTGCACTGTATACTAATACGATTGCACTGTATTCCGTAAAATTGCACTGTATACTAATACGATTGCACTGTATTCCGTTAAATTGCACTTTATACTAATACGATTGCACTGTATTCCGTAAAATTGCACTGTATACTAATACGATTGCACTGCATTCCGTAAAATTGCACTGTATACTATTACGATTGCACTGAATTCCGTAAAATTGCACTGTATACTCTGGCACCCCTGGATAAAGTGCGAATCTGAATTAGTACGCGTCCTTACAAAGCGCATTTATTTCATTGAATGACACTAAATCATGTTTTTTGGTTCCCAATATACATGTAATATAGCTGCTCAGTTCACTCACCTTATTTTTTGTTGTGGTGATATCTTCCCTGATTTTTGCGGCGTGCAGTAAGGGACTGTACGATATTTACCGGGGGGGAGGGCTGGTGCAAAATGGTCCGGTAAAAATTTTTTTCCATGGCCCTCCCCCCGGCTCAAAAAAAAATTCCATGGCCCTCCCCCCGGCTCAAATTTTTTTTCAATGGCCCTCCCCCACCCAAAATTTTTTCGGTGGCCCTCCCCCCCATTTTTCCAGTCCATGTCTCTTTCTCCCTCCGTAAATTCCCGAATGAAGTACGCATCCCGATTGAAGTACGCACCCCCGATTTGGGGCTGGTGGGAGACAAATATTCCCGTCTGAAACGTAAAATGGAAAAACTCGAATTAAGTACGCACCCCTTCTACGCACGGCCGGTACCACAGTGAACATGTAGTATGTATGTCTTAAAGACAGTTCGTCGTTCCAAACAAATTTAAAATGGTTAAAAACTAGATTTATGCCGTGTACTACGTGATTGTATGGTAACGTAGCGGGAAACGTTTCAAGTTCGGGCTTGTTTTTCACCGCCGGCTGCAGCCGACTTGCAAGACGTCACCACCGCATCGAAAGGTAAGGCAAGTGCGGCGAAACGCACAGATTTGGATCCAGCTTTGGAGTGTTGGTGATCCAGCAAGCAATGGTCAATAAAGATTCGTGAAAAAAAGACAATATTTCAATATTGATTTTATCGGTAACGGGGGGTAGTTGAATGTTGATGCACAAGTACGTAGCTTTAATGTTTTTAATACGAAATGCGCCGATCACTTCTTTAATAGCGCCCGCCCGAACGACCCAAGGAGAGCAACAATCATACAGGCGGAGAACTGGGCGGAGTATCTGCGTGTAGAGGTGCTACCGAATTTAAAATTTGACACCGAAACCAATTACACAACAACTGGGATCAATGGGACTTGCGATTCCGAACAGGAGAAAGTGACAAGTTTGACTGCGTTTCAAGTAATCTCTCGTTATGTGATAGATGTTTTTGTCACAAAATCAAAGGAATAAACACATGACTGTATTAATTTGTACTCCGTAAAATTTATAAGTACAGTCTGTTCAGAGGAAAGAAAGACTTCTGGAAAGCTGTCCTCGGCGCTGCGCATGCCACGGCCCTCTCTGTGTTCTTCAGCTGTAGGTGTACTTTGCCTGTCGGCGCGCCAAACACCCCACCCACCGGCCGGGCGGTAAGATTTCATCAAAGACTACGTTTTAAGTTAACTCCGCCCCTATCATTGTAGCTTGCCGAACAGTCGAGTAGGAGTTCATCTAGCTGGAATTTTCACGTCGTACTGGCTGGTATAGCCCGCTACAAAGTAATTTCCTGTGGCCTTTAACAAGATTTAAAAATATTTGTGATACGAAGTGAAACATGGTTAACATTTCTGAACCTTTGAAACGACATGGGCATAATCTTTGTTGAAGATTCCTGCGTTGAACTCAAGCCGGAAGTGTATTGGAAATGACCATCAGTCGAGGCACAACTGTTATGTTATCACATGTTACGTTACCTCCATGGTTACGACGATCAAGAACGTTCACGGCTTGCGGACCATTTCAAATATTACCACTCATAAACCCTACAATCGTATGTGTACTTACGGGAAGTTATATTTTCGGCCGAGGTTCCACTGAGATCGGCGCCGGCTAGCTGGGGAACGATCCTGTCGGCTTGACAAAGCGCCGGGCGTCATTGCCAGAGACCTACATTTTCTTACCGTGGGTGACTTGACTTCTTCTTTTACCGAAACTTGGTGTCAATATCGACGATAGTCACAGGAAATATGTTCATTTATTGAAGTTTAACTTTATTTCCACTCGTCAATATTCTTATCTAAACATGCTATAGACGATCGATGTTCCAAGCTCCCCTTGCCGGTGTTCCGCTATATTCCTGGGTCGTCCACGGATTTGTCGGCGGAAAACTCAAATAAAGTACGTACGCACCGCGACTTTGGCGACGGCCCGAGACACTTCTGGGATTTTGAAAAATGTAAAAAGTGCGTACTATATTCGGGAATTTACGGCGTATTTCTTGTAATTCGGTACTACGCGACACCATATTTTACAAAAGTTTTTCGGTGGCCCTCCCCCCCAGGCCGATTTTTTTTCGATGGCCCTCCCCCCGACTCAAATTTTTTTTCCATGGCCCTCCCCCCAGGCCAAAATTTTTTTCAATGGCCCTCCCCTCCAGTGCACCAGCCCTCCCCCCCGGTAAATATCGTACAGTCCCTAAGCGGTGAACAATGACAACTGTTCCATGAACGTTGTGACACCGCGCCAGTGCCCTGTTGTACAGAGCAGTAGCTCTGGTCAAGTTTCTAGTGTCTCCAGTTTCTGTTCCTCTTTTTAGGTACACGTCACCCAGACTCTTGATCGCTTCTGTTTCTAACATGCTGCCGTCGTTTACTATCGCCTCTACCATCACCTGTGCGTATCCAACCAGCAAAGAGTCTGTGTTACCTCCGAAAGCCAATGTCTTGTCTAGATCTTGAAACTTTGCCGCTATCTTTGCAGGTGTAGTCGTCTCCTTGTCGTCAGTTGACTGTTCCTTACCCTGTGACGACAGCCCTTGTAAAAGCCGCTCCGTGTAGTGGTAACGATGTTCTATACCATCTGCCTGTTCTTCATGGTAACACCGTACCTTAGCAGCATGATAAAGCGCCAAGGCTGTGTTGAATTTCCCCACGTCCTTCCCGAGTCTTCCCTTCTCCACGTTTACGTCGCCCAGAGTTTTGAGCAGCTCCACTTCCGCCAGCCTGTCTGTGTCGGCCATGGTGTCCACCAGGGCACGGAGGTAGCCTGTCTCCGCCCGGGCTAGTCCGTACCTCCTGCCCTTCTCGTCCGCCTTACAGAGTTTCTCACACACCCGCAACATGGCGACTTTCTGCCACGAAAACCTTTTGGTCTGTCTTTACGGTACCGGTTTCACTTCGCACTGCTTGTGTCAACATTACGCCATCTAGAGTTCAAAGGTCGAAAGCCACAGTACTGTAATCTCCAAGCAGATACAGTCGGGGGCTGGGACGATCAGATTGGCCAACCGAGTGACCATTTGCCCCCCTTGCCCCCCTTGTAATGGGTACTGCTTTTTTTAAAATTTGATAGCGTGTTGTCATTTGATACTGTATATATTGCAGCATCTGAAAGATTTGCTTTTAGAGTCAGCTCATTGTACATCCCGGTGTAGATACTCAAGATAACTTGCGTACAGAAATACAGAAATACTCAACTAGAGTTCCACGATCTCATACCTTCGCCAAATGATGTTACCCTTAGGCCATGACGAATTGAAAATGATTTTCATTAATCATAAAAACAAGATCTGGAAATCGCCATTTGCATGAAATGAATTATATCAATTGATCTTGTTATTCACCTAATAACAGTCTTGTCTTATGAACAATGGCTAATATAGAATTTCTTAAAAATTATGCACATATAATTATGCAAATGATGTCCTGATTTGAATATGCTGTTTTAGATGATGTCCGCCTTAACTTAAGTTAAAAATGCCAGAAGGATAAGATTCCCTGCAGTTACTCTTGGAATCATAGCTTTTTTGTACTAATTATGCAAATTAAGCCGCCATTTGCATAACCATTCCACGCCAATGTTCTTCAAAATAACACATGCCACATGTTTGAAGAATCATATCATGAAAGGTAGATGTATATAACTTACTTATTAACTAGAAAGGCCAACATTTGCTTCGGAGCAAATGTAGGAATTTCACTCCATACCCTTCCCCAAACAAAAATGAAAGATTCTAAATAAGCAAGGATACTCGGGTACTCACCGCCACCCAGCTGGCGGACAGGGAGTGGCGCCCCTGCCCATTGAGGAGCTTGTAGTCTGTAGCCAACAGACTACAACAACATATATATACACATCATATACACAATACAAAATAAGAGCGAAACCCCAAATCCAAACCAAAAACCCCTACCCCTCACCGTGCCGGAGCCCTCAACTTATTGAGGTTGTGCACGTACGGGAAAGAAGAAGAAAGGATACAAGGACAAGCAAACTTTTAATCTCGACAGCTTTATTCACAAAATTAGCACTTGACAATTGTCTCCCATTTTTTTTACAAAGATACACACAGATTTACTTCACACTTATATATTGCAGGCATCTAAATACAACTACAAAGGCCACAGCAAGTAAATTTTATGGATGACATCCGCACGCGCATTAATTTTTGCCTGATTTTGGAAAAAAAAAAACAAGAGATTTTGTTGCCTTTTGACAGTGGTCAACATGCCGAAAATGGGCAAAGGTGTCTGTTGCCATGCAGGCAGGTGGATGGCAGATAACCATGAAGAGAGGAGACAAGAAAAGGCTCTGATTTAATGTTTTGTTTCTTACTTTGATGAAGTGATATGTGATGTTGACTGTATATATGTGATGTTCCTAATGAATCAAAACCATTTGTATAATGATTGAGTCAAAATTTTACATTGTAGGAACCTTGTTTTTTTTCGGCCCGCCTTGTTTTTTTTCGCCCGCTCGCATTAGATTTGGAGTCTTCGGAGGATGCCATCCATAAAATTTACTTGTTGTGGCCTAATGACAAAATTGTAACTACTCTGAAGCTCTAATTGCACAGAATTGGAGACTATACCGACATGATCTATATATACTTTGAAACCATACAAACATATTGAATGAATAAATTACACACGACTTACAAATACTAGGAACCTGTACTTAGGCCACTTCATTTTAATGTGTTGGTTCTCGGATTCGCCTCTTCATTATTTTGATTTGCAAAAAAAAAAAAAGATTCTGGTTCTGAATCAACTCAAAAATGCTCAATGCCCCCAACAGCTGAGGAAAGTTCTTTTCTTCCTAGTTGTTACAGCTTTTCCATCTATATGAATTCAGTGGTTTGATGAAAAGTTAAAAATTCATTGTTTGAATTTTAACCCAGCCTTCTGTGTTGACTTAATGGCTCCTGTCCTAGCATTTGGGGCTATAATAGGGTGCCTAGATCTGTTTTTATTTTTCTTTATTTTGTTTCTCTTCATATTTTTTTCTAAGAAAATCTGAGAACCAACAAATTAAATTGGTGTGGCCTTATATATTGATTAAGCTATACTAGGCCAATTTGATCTGATTTGCTGCAAGCCCTGTGTCTCTTCCTCTATCGACAAAGTTGGTAAATTTTATGACATAATCAATTTACGGAGTACGTTTGCTCAGTTTGCAGATGTTTTGTATGATTGTCGTAAACTTCTTTTGGGAATGAACGAAAACCGATGCACTAACAGATGTCATCCATATAATCAAATCAACATGGCCATATTCACACTCACATAAACTATGAAACCATACATTGAATAAGCTATACATTACTATCATTATCATAATGGTTACCTTTATTTCTAAAATCACACTAGTGAGCTAATAGAGTCAAAGAAAGCAAAGTATAGCAATAGAATTTCTGTACAAGCTATAATAGTCCTTCATCTCGATGGTTCAGGTACTGAGACATGGTTCGTCCTCCATCGAACCAAGACCTGTAAACATTCTCAGGCAATGTTGACATAAACTTTATCAAATGATCCCTTAGTACTTTAAAATATTCTTCGGTGCCACAGATATTGTAACTAATTGCATTATAAAAACAATTCCCATCTCCTCGTATAGAAACAATACCGCTACTACAAGGTGTCTTCAAAGGGACATTCCTCTGCTCCATATTGTGGTATTCTTTAACAGTAATGATTTCATTTTCATTTTGGGCATACCTGTTTACCATGCTGGCCACATTCGATTGATCTTCCCGCGTAAAAGGGTCAAAAATAAAACCTCCTTCACTATCCCAGGCCCCTGTTTCCTGTACATCCTGGTCATCAACTGGCTCCTCCCCACTTACCTCCACCTCCATGAGCATTTCAGCTGGCTCCTGTACTCCTGACTCTACTTCCTGTACTGACTCTACCTCTGCTTGCTTGTCATCCTGCTGACTGGGTTGCTTCTCCGTTTTTTGCTCATCCTTCCATGCACTCAACCTCTCAGTCAATTTTTTCTTCTTACGCCTAGGCATTTCTGAAACGTTTAAAATACCAGAAATTACAGGTATGTGTTAATTTTGCTGACCAGAGATCCTTTTACCTTATAAAAAACGTAGGAATACATACACTTATGACGCGAATTAAATTCAGGAGCCATGCAGGTTTGTAAGATTTTTATTGTAAAGAAATCACACCGCCAGATTTACGAGATTTTTTTATCACCACTTCAAAATCCAGTCAAGAAAGTTCAAATAAAGTAACATAATCCGTGAATCGGCAAACCAAAGCCCCACATTTACAACTATAAGGTTGTGTTGGACCCATATTAATACTAGTAGCCAAAAAAATCCCCGGCCCCGTTTCCCTAGAGAGCGATCGCCCCCCTCCCCCACATCGTCCAAAAACAAAGAAAAACACTGGCCCAAATCCTCTATTTTATCAGTAAACCGACAAACAGAAGGCTCACGTTTACAACCACTATGTTAAGTTTAAGGCATTTTCATATGATCATGTAGTAATCACTTACCGCAAATAAGGTAAATACTAGTACCCCGGTACAGCCTTCAACAGGTAACAACTTCAGATCGAACCGGATGTTATCGTTCGCGCGAGGAATGGTGGGACTTTTCTTGGGGCCTGCATGCCGTTTTTCGTAAGGCGTAATCAGGCCTTTTCAGTCTTCATAATACGTAGACAACCTCCCAAAAATCAACGTAATCCGTAATAGAACAGTAGCTGCAAAGCGTTAAGTCGTTATAAGGTCTGAGACTTTAACGTAATTCGTAATATTGGAGGCGAAAATTTTGCATAATTCGTAATCACTACCCCCATGCAGGCCCTCTTCACTACACTCTATAGTTCTTGTAACCTTGTTCTTGGCCCGCGCTAATTAATGTCCTTATTACAATGTATTACAGCACCCACATATCTCTACGTGCACAAACAATGGTCTATAGGAGGAACTCTGACTATCCACTTCTTACCTGATGATATTTCCTGCTATTTGACGCACAAGATACTGCCAGTCACTGGCGAGAACCTGACGCTGGCAGCAAAAGTCGTCCACCTTGCAGACGACCGAACGTAAAAATGATCACGTGACGCATATGACCAATCAGCGTCAGCGGAAGAAATTCGCGGGAGATTCGAAAAGCGTTCTATGATTGGTCTGCGTCAGGTTGATGCTTTTATGCCCATATTTGGACATGCCTCCGAATTCCTTTCTTATTACGTCACGCACGTACGCCCCCACAGTACTTTCCTATGGGGACCGCTAAAAAGCAAATAAAACGATTGTAAAAGCTTGTATCAGAAAAATTTAAAAAACACCTAAAGGTATTTACCCACTCTACCTCTATACGAAATTACAGGTAATTTTGCCCAAAAATGAAGGAGTTGAATCAATTTAAAGAAGTGGCAGGAGAAGAAGGAGAAGGAGAAGAAACATCAGAAAAAACAGTATTTCACTCCATACTGAAGTATGGAGTGAAATAAAAAAAATATCACCCCGTAATCCATGACCGGGTGAAGTCACATTGAAATCACATTGCGTTCAGACGCAAATCGCGATGCGGGAAAACCGATTCGAGACCACCTCTGGAAGTGGTTTTAATGTGATTTGGAGCGTTTAGATGGGCCACTTGAAACCGGTTTCGGGGGAAACCACATATAAAGCGCCTTCACTGACTTCATATGAACAGGGCCTAAGATACGCCAAAAATGTACTCAAATAACTGGATATGATTTCGGACACGGTCTGACATTTCAGGTAGAATCCACTACCTTTCTGTAGTGACACTTAAAGACTGCAGGAGAAATGCAGGTTGACAAGTGCCAACAATTTATTGATATGCAAATAAGTGAAGACATTTTTGCAAGTTCAAATGAAATAAAAAAGGTTACATAAATAGGACCAAAGGAAGGACCATTAGATAAGATCAAGAGGAATGTTCGCTGTTTCTTTAAACTTTCAAGTTGGTTAAAAAGTTCTAAGCTAATAGAAATATTTAAAACATTGTCTTAAGCCTCCTGCTTCTTGGAACTTTGATTAAATGTTTCTAATCTGAAAAATTCCCTCACCCCAAAATATTGCCTTAAAACTCCTGCTCCTTGAAACTTGCACTTACTTTGATAAGTCCTAAGCAGAAAACTGCTCATCCACACCAAACATTGTTTGAGGCGAAGGTTACTAGTTTGGTATTTATTTAGGCTTTTAGTCTCGTGCATTAAAGAGCACCTATTGTGTATAGTTCGCTCACGAAAAGACATCCACAGTACACAAACTACACGTGTCCATTGTTAACACAATGCTTTTGCTCATTAACATGTCAGTTACCTTGACCTGACGTCTGTTACCATGGTGACTGGTGCTGTAGTGACACATTGTGGTGTCAGGGTGCATCATGTATAGCAAGTGGCAGTTGGATTTGGAGGTAAAGCTATAAAGAGAATGTCTAGATTATGCGGAATATACAACACTAGATTATATGTCAATTATGTAATAATAGACAAGGAACGTAAACAGTAACTTCTCTCCGTGAGGAAACTGAAGCGTGACTACAATAGTACAGTACTGCTTCATTACATTTCATTTAGAATTTCTCCTATGCAGATATTTTTTTAAAATATTTACTACGATTTTTAACTCATGTGAATTACTCACATGTTTTGGGTTAGAAAAAGCGGCAGTAAATACAGGTTTGTTTACCTCAAAATTAAAAAAAAAGTTTAGGGTTGTAACAATTTGGGTCGCATTCACAGGGAAGCTTGTTCCATAGTGATGTAGTTCTAAGAAAGAAGCTTTTAGCCTGGAACTTTTTCCTGAGAGATGTTGTATGGAGGAAGAAAGTGTGATTCGCTTCCGTAGAAGTGGCAAAACGTGTCATTGCCAAGTTCGTAATGGGGGATAAGCTAATGAAGCACAACTGAGATCAAACTTGTAGAAACATTTGGATAAATACTTAAATTTTAGGCTTAAGTTTTACAAGTTACTTCCAAGTTTAAGTCTACTAGTTTACACTTAAGCTTTACTTGTAAGCTCTGGTGCGGATGGTCGGAGAGCCACTGTACATTAGTGTTGAGAGTCTCGCCTGTCGCCTATGGACGTCCTGAAAAACAAAAAGATCGGAATTATCAGGGAGGAGATGTAGAATGGTTTCAAATTAGTAAACTAAACATGGTTTGTGACAGGAGCTATAATGGTCTGCTGCCTTATTCTGTTGGGTACTAATAAGCTGTGCCGTGTTTACTAGATGAAATGATTTCAGAAAATAGTGAGGATACAAAATATGTACCTGGAGCAGTCTGGCAAATGAAGTGAAGAGGACTCTGGCAGGTAGAGTCGACCCACTTATCTTTCAGGAATGTGTAATAAAAGACGCAATCTTGGCCGCGCCCATAGTTGTTCGGTTCTCCCGGAGCCCAGGAGCTGTACGGCCCAAGTGCAGAACCGTCCACCCACTCAAACCTTCCCTCTTCGCGCTGATCGTGCAGGCCGATCCAGAAGCGGTCGTGTAAGGGATTGCAAAAGGAGCCCAGGAAGGCGTTGGTCTCAGCGTCTCGGGGCATGGCGAGGGTGCCGCCGTCTTCCCGACAGGCTGCGGCCGCTTGGTCAAAGGTCTTGCGTGTGTTGAATGCCTTGTAGCAAATTCCACGCCAGATTGTGTAGCCTCCGGGACAAGATGCTGGAAAACACATTTTGTATCAGCAACCGGCAAAGGATCATGTTAGATATAATGACAAACATAAAAAAGATGCTTCATTAAGAATAAATCTAACGAAACCTACTATGAAAATCGTGAAGACGCTGCTCCAAGGTGGCGGTCCGGTTGCGCTCGCTCTCCAGGTCGTGCTTCAAGGCGTCTTGATCGCGTTTCAAGGCGTCAACGGTAGTAGACAATTGGCGCATATCGTCTTGGTCACGTTTTAAGGTGTCGACAGTAGTCGACAATTGGGATATTTCCTACAAACATGTATACATACACATGTCAGAATACCAAACGTAAGAAACAAACTTATGAAAAACAGCAGCAGATATTTCGTACCCTTTTAAAAAAAATTGATACCAATGAAAAAAAAAATCCTGGAAAACAGTACAAGATTGTTACCTGTTTGTTACTTAATGTCAGAGGGGCGAGTCCCACGGCGCCTAAGCTCAGTAGCACGGCGATGCCGGCGGCTAGGCAGCTGAGGCGGGCGCGGAGGAAGCTACAGACACCACGGCGGCCGCTCGCTCCACCCGGATACGCGCCGTCTGGTAGAAAAATATATTTCGCTCAGGTTATCGCTTACGTCATGTCAACATGTTAATGAATAAATATACAAAACGAGACCAGGCATTAAATATTTCATCCTTAATTATGCAAATTATATGCGCGGCGTACAGTAAACAAATGAGAGTTTTCTTCTTGTCATCAAATTTACTCATACTATACAATAATCATATACCCTTAGAATATTTTCTTCTTATTGTACAAATATCACCTGTAAAAAGCAGGTGTGAAAAGCGTCAGTTACCTGGAGACGTTGCGTAACGTTTCACCTCCTCGGCGTCTTCGTACGTGTGTGAAGACGTGTCCTGGTCTTCCCGCTGCTTGTCAGAAGCGCCGTTGCCACGGCGGACACGCCCGCGGGAACCACTCTGACGGACGGGATGGGGTTGCAGCGGCGGTCCGCTGATTTGGCGGCTGTCGGGGCCGGAGAAAGGCGACCGGACAGGCTCTGCCTCCTCGTACATGACGACCGTACTGTGCAGACTGTATTATTGCACAATGTATAACTGTGCAAAAATTCATGAATATGGCAACTAATACCTTAATAAGTCTGTTAAAGTAAGGCTACCCTTTTTGGCAGAATGACGTGGCATGATGTGATGCGATGGAATTTTGTTTTTTATGCAAGAGCCAGACTCATTTTCTAGGAAAAAGAAGGGTTGGTAAGCAGGAACATCGAACGCATCGTTTCAAACCGAGAGAATTCTTGTTATAAGCTGTAAATTCTCGTGACTTTTACAGACTTGTGCGAATTCATCAACGTAGTCATACATGTAGCAGACATGCCCAAGCTCCCCTCCCCAATGCCGACAAAATACTAGTAGTAGATATTGTCTACACTGGATGAAATACTCATGCTTACTTTTTCTTCCTTTCGAGCAGTTCTGATTAACATTGCTAGGTGGCGCTGTGAGACCTTGTGTTGGCTAAAATTAACCCTACCTAGACC